TAAAGCCTCTCTTGATTGCACCGAGTTGTCAGATCAGTTTGCCAGGGCTCGGAACAAAATGTACTGCAACACACACACCGCATAGAACAGTTCAGTGAGATTGGGAGTGTTGACTTTTTCGGGACAATTGTTAGCTGTCCATGGCCTTATAGTATAAGCTGACAAGCGAATTCTGCAGTTCTGGCTATAATGGTTCATATATCCTGAATAAAAGACTGTGCGTGAGGGTATTTGGACCACATGCGATTCCAGTTTCATATGTTCCTCCTTGCCCAGCAACTAAAATACTTAAATACTTTCCTTCTATTTATTATTGTCTAAGTGGACTTTCTGGCAGACGAGGATACGTGATTAAGACTTTGGAAAAAGTGAAATCTGAAATTTTTATGCAAATTGACACAGTCAAGTTAAGGCCTAATTTATGACGTTTAAATGCGCAGCGCACTGCATGAAAGGTCGTCCGTAATTCTCGAAACGGACGAAAGGTATCCATGGTCACGTCGACTAATGCGTGAATTTTGCCATTTTGAGGAGCACTTGCGTAGATTACGCCTGAATCTGGCGGCAGAGCATTTGGTGTAAAGTGGACAGGAGATAACATCGGACACAATCTCAGAATAGTAAACTGTCCGAACCTAGGACTGACAGAAATTACTATTTCCTTTCTCTAACCCAACTTAACTTAAATGCCTTGCTATTATTTTCCTAAAGGGCTGCTAAGAAAGTCACATTTTGAGAAAATCCCAGCAACTTCTTCCTTACTTTTATATACTAAAGAAGCTAACATGCACCAGTTCTCCGAAACAAGCTGTTCATAAAACCGAGAGGGAAGTAATGAAATCTTGCAACAAACTCTGCTTCCAACGGGCTACAAAGTCAGGTTTACCACGAGTCAGCGGGGGATGAAACAATAGCAGATAAAGTGTAGGCTAAAGTGACAATTTAATGAGTCACAATTATTTAAACTCTGTTGTTATTCATAGTGGTTGTTTCGAGTAACAGATGAAAGGCTTTCTTTTAAGACTGATTCTTAAGGTGAGTATATAAAGGGTATAACATGCTGCGGCCATGGCTTTTCTGTCAGAGAGGCAGATCAACATTAGCACTTTAATTTTATCAAAACCACAATTGGCCTCTTATAACTTTCAATAAACTGTAGTTAGTTGGTTCAGGATAGATTTATAGAATAGTTAATATATTAATATATTGTGAATTTCAAGAATACTGGTGAAATTTCCATAATCGACATTCTCAATAGGGAGGATAAGTTGAGTGAAATCGTGATGCCGACTAGCAGACGCCACTATACATGCAGTGATATAGCATTGGTGAACAACTATCACGTTAGCAGCACAAATCACCCACGTTTCAATGACCGCGGAATATGAACATTTTTTCATTGTTTCTTAATTGCCCATGTGAACACAATTATATCTTAGATGGCTTATTTTACTAAAATATGTTTACATTCTTACTATGGAAGGTAATGCATGTTGACGAAATTCGTACTTGAACGACGAGCGTTCTACGGTTTATAGAGGTTAAGATACATTTACATTAGTTTAAACGCCAAACGTTGTTTTAACATACTTCAGTAGGTTTGGAGTTGTATGCCACCATGCGTTTGTAAGTCCTGTGATAGATAGAGATGACGTTGCAAATTTTCGAAAAGGAGTATAGTATAGTACTCGAAATTATCTGGGTGACATTAACCTTCTCTTAGATGCAAGCTTTTCAAAAGTAAAATAATTCATTTTCGAATAATGCATACACATAAGGCATAATTCCCTGTATAGAAAAGTTAAGATGGACGTTTCTGTATACACTTTCAAGAGGGTGCAATTAAACCATCTCAGGAGTCATATATACACGTAGAAAGCCCATACTACTGTCACAGCCCTTTTGTGCCTAGTATGATTTTTATAAGCAACGAAGACGTACTAATTCAAAAGCCTGTATTCCTGAGTCCATGAAACACTTTGCTTTAATCACGTGCACTACTCAGTACTGCAGTCCACCTAAATAGCACTTTCTGGTCAAAACTGTTTTAATAAGCTCAGTTAGCGTTTCTTGGCTGTTTACTTTCCGCATGGTGAATTTGAGAGTCCTTGAAGAAGGGGCTGCTAAAACTTACAGGGAGACAGGTATCCATAAGAGACAATTCTTCGTCATATTGCATACCCACCTTCAGCTGATAAAGTTTGTACCTTAGCAGTGGAGTCACGTTGTATAAATGGTTCATTGCCGCCTGCTCAGTGGCTAAGATACTCTATTGCAGTTAGCCCTGGTAATTCAGTGACATTCTGCATACCGATTTAGCGACTTTATCAGCATTATCAAGGCGTCCGTGTTAATTAGGTGAAGGCGGACTGAACAGTGAGGGGGAGTTTATGCGCACCCCTTGAAATATACTGCTATATGACTGCTACTAATTCTGTTTAGACAGCATGAAATAAGTCAATAAGCCTACTTCCTGATTACCATAGGCTTAGATTTTATTAAGTCTTTTCCGCCGTTTACATAGCCCAAGCAAATACGATCCAGAGATATGGGAAGGATTGAACTTAAAAGAGTGAAATGCATAATTGTGAAAGTCCTTCAGCAGGGCTGCGTCGGTCAGGAGGGCTTTAAGAAGCACACATAATGTGTAGGCTGTTCGCATAAGTTCACGGATAAACCTGGAACTTGGGACAGGATTGGTTATTAGGAGGGTGGTTTCGGCACGGTTCGGTAGAAGCCCGCTACAGATGTTTTGCATACCGAGAGAAGACACTGCAGCCGACGTACGGAACAAGGCGAAGGAAAGTCCTGAATAAAATCATTTTTGGACAAGAGGACGAATTCCATGTGAACCGATCTGATGCCTCATCAACTGGTGAAAAGTGGCCCTGGGCTAAATTTTCCCGGGTGAAGAGTTATAACAAACCGCCGAATGCGGCCAAAAACAAGCAAGGCGTTGGAGTTATTCCCCAGCATCTCGACGGGCTTCTATGACCGTGTCAGTATCAGCATAGATAAATGGGGGGATGACGTACGATGCGGCCAATGGAAAGCGGCCATGTCTGGTAGGCAATTCGGGGACCTGAAAAAGTCGAAATATTTCGCTACATTCGTTTTGGCAACATCATCAAGAGCAACCAGGTATTGTGAAAGGTCAGGCCAAAGTCAACCATCTAGAAAGCGGTTCCACACCAGAGAACACCGGTAAAGTCCTGAGGAAGTGGACATGGTTACCGATCAGGGAGGGTGATATTCCTCAATATCGTTAAATCATCACAAGGATGCCAATCGTTCATCTAAGGGCCTGTAGGGGTACAGTTAGATTCGGAGTCGGATTTTAGCTCTAAAGTTAACAGGACACTAACAGACGTTATCGGTCCCCGGTAAGAGCGGGAACGGCGAAGGTGTCGGTTCGAGGTATGTCGAGATGGTCCATCAGCCCCATGCAACTGCAGATCGCCAATGGTTGCCGATGGTCAAGCCATCTATGTCTTAGTCGTGGCCAGATCCGAGGACGTTCTCACGAAACTAAATGAAGATGCGATTTATACGGGCTACAGGTAAAGTGAATACCGGTCAGAATATGAAGACTGTGTGCATGAAAGTCTAGGTCATCACTGTTCCTAAAACCCTAAACCTAAAAAATATACTGAATTAGTTAACACTATCATCAGCTTTGCGCAAATAATATGTTGATTCAATGAAAGTCCCAAGGAGGTTAGCTTGGATTGCAGTTGTGAGGGCAGTATGGCCAACAGTAGGAATAGCCGGTTGAAAATGCCCACTGACAAATATGCCTAAGTGTTTACCGGCAATTCATGTCTCTACTCGTCAAAGATGCTCTTTCTATTGAAAAAAATACTATACAAGCGAGGTTGGAATACAGGCTTAAAAAACTTTAATAATCAAGCCCATTATCCATGACAGTTCGACCGTCGATTTCGACGATGTCCACCGTGTGCCCCACAGCTGCAGCAGCGGTGGGAGCAGGGACGGTGACTTACGCAGGGGTTTATAGTGCCAGTAGACTTGCGTAGCATCTACCTACACTCTCTCCTCCTCCACCGCCTGGGCCCGGTGTCAAGACCGAGTCAAGAAGACCGGAGACGAGGGAGGCCGCAGGTGGATGGCTCGGACGGATCCTCACCTTGGCGTTCCACCACACCCCCTGGTCCACATAACAATAACCAGGATTTGAACCAACACAACATAGATTTGGAGGCTGGCACGGCCGAAGCCGCACCTGGGCGTGCCGCCAACGCCTGGCTCGGATCCCACACTGTGGTGGGAATGCCATAAAGGCCACATTAAAAAGGAGCCATTGCAGCCTGACTCTCAGACCGCCTCCCGTTAAGGAGGAGGTCCAAGGTACCCCGTCAGTTGGCAACCTTCCAAGCCACGGCTTTTAGCGCACCGTGATAGCTTCAAGCGCGTCAGATTGTTTATAGTGAGGAAAATGCGCTGAGTCGTCGACCTCACTCCCCCTTCCCCCTCCCACACCCCAGCCACTGTCCGAGCCGGTCAGTAGACTGGAGTGGGGAATGGGCGCGGTGGCTGACATGGTCGACTGACCATGCCTGCGCGCGCCACAGCACGACCTGGCCCCCCATACACACAAACACCAGGATTTCACACAACGGGGGTCGAACGGCGTGTCTCTCACATGCGTGAGAGGGCCGTGGAAGGTGCTGCTTCAGCCCGTCCCCAGCCCACCAGTCCGCTACTACACAACACACACACACAACGTGACGAACTGCGTGAACCGAGAACGTGCGTCAATCAGCAACCTTCCTATCCACGACACTTCACGTGTCGGGATAGTCTCGGACTCACGTCACCCGTGCAGCCGAGGCCGCATGGGGACCGAGTCGAGATGCACACTTCCCACTTGCGTGGGAGGCGGCAGCTGAGTGCATGAGGTGTGTGGGGGTTGATGTCTGTTGGGGTGATGGTGTTAGGAGGTAGGGAGTGAGGGAATGTGTGGTGTGACCGGCGGTTGTCTACCGCAGGTCGTTGTGGATGCGCATGTGGCCGAATAGACCCATGCGATGCGTGAAGGTGCGAGGGCAGTGTGGGCAGTGGAGGCGAGTGCGGTGGGTGTAGGTTGTTGCTCCAGGCACTGGTTCGCCAGTCTCTGTGCGATGGATTCGCAAGTGACCGACCAGGCCGATGCGTGAGGTGAAGGTGCGTGGACAATGTGGGCATGAGAGGTCGGCGGTGTCGGTGTCAGCTGTAGAGGAAACAGTGGTGTTGGTGGTGGCGGTGGTGATGGTCGGCGCGTGTGACGGTGGGGCGAGGATGGGTCTGGGCGTGTTGGATGTCGTGGCTGTATCGGAATTGCGGTCAATGCCGCTCTCGTGGATGCGCATGTGGCCGAATAGACCCATGCGATGCGTGAAGGTGCGAGGGCAGTGTGGGCAGTGGAGGCGAGTGCGGTGAG